TGAAATCAACTTTGAATTTTAATTAGTATTGGAGCAATACAAACGTGGTCAGACTAGGACGTGAGCTTCATCATCCAAGCCATGCGGGAAGTATCATTGGAAGGACTAGATTCATTTGCTGATACAAGAACGGTTCCAAGCTACGCACTGCCACAGCTTGTGAGTGTTGTTAGCAAGAAGCCTTTACGTAATTGCGTGCCTATTATTAGGAAATATACAGTTTGCGGAGCATGACTCGGAGCGCTGAGAGCGCGAATCGAGAGGTAAATGTTTCAATTAAAACTTGAAATGTGTTACATTGATAAGAGTGTATTTCTTTGACAAAAAGAAGTGATAAATGATATATACAAACAAGTAGAAGGATACAGAATCCGAGGCCGTACATAAACGAACGAAAATCACCGACGAGGAAAGAAAAAGATAACAAATGATTCTCACTTCTAAAGATCATGAAAACTAATAACGCTAATATTCATACCCTAGCATCTCCGAAGGGCGTCTCTGCATTAATTCAGGACACATGCATCCCTCAGTCCACCCGTTGGAGGTCCTCGCGGGTGGAGTATACATGGTATAGTCATCCGCGGTATCTGTTGAGCCGTATAAGACTCCCAATAATGAGTCGTAGATAGGTGGAGGGGTTTGGTATTGAGTGTGTTGGAGTTTATGTTCAGTGGGATGAGATTGCATGGGCTGGGGTGGCATGGGTTGCGATTGAATGGGTTGCGATTGCATGAGCTGCAGTTGAATGGGCTGCGGTGGCATGGGCTGCAGTTGCATGGGTTGCGGTAGCATAGGTTGCAGTTGCATTGTTTGCGGTAGCATGGGTTGCAGCTGCATGGGTTGCAGTTGCGTGGCTTGAAATTGGAACTGGTATTGGGAGAATGTAGCAGGGGGAAGAAACTCTGCCGGGGGCTGGAGCTGTGCCGGTGGCTGGGATGACAGTTTAATCCCACCTGACCCTTTTGTGGAGGGAACACCACGACCGCGCGGTAGAGCAACATACCCATGTTGTTTCTGGCGGTGGCGCGTGAAGCCAGCGGGGTCGTGGGTCTTGTAGTTGCAACCATCGTGAGGACAGATGTAGCGTTGCTCGCCCGTACTAAAAAAATGTCGACAAGGTGGAATCAATGACAGTGATGAATGAACACGTACTGCTTAGCAGAATGGATCTCATAGTTAAATTTCCTCTTTGTCGCAAAGTCGCAGCCGGGCCAGGTGCAGATATACCCACTGTGTAAGCGAATGTGAGTGAGGTACGCTATATAGCATAGAAGGAGAAAAACGTACTCTGATGAATATGTGGCCTCGTGTCTCTTGAAGTCGATGAACCTGGTAAAAGTTGCGTTGCAGCCAGGATGAGCAGAGCAAATGTAGGTCTAAATATTCCGCGTCCGAGTCAGTCTTCAAGTTAGTGCACGAGGGATTAGGCCTACCTTAGACATGATTGGTTATAGAAGAATATGAGTGGTGGTGCTAGTTGATTCTGTCTGAGGTGAATGTATGTTTCAACTTGAGATGATGATGGCACTGGGGAGGTATTGGGGGAGGTATGTAAAACGATTCCCGACTGTGGTCGTTCCACTGTGCTTTGCGGTAGACAGCCGTTTGTGGCGTTCGTACAGGGACGCTTTGTGGAGGTCACTAGCGGATGTGGACCATGGAACACGTGAGTGCATTGTCCTTGAAGCAACCACATCGGTTTGAAAGCTTCAAGCTGTTAGCAGCGTTGGAGGAGCAATCAGGAATCGAGTTATTTGCCAGAGATAAGTGATCCGGATCATCGAGCTCAACCGTTGAACGTGAATAGTTGAGTAAAGATTGAGATGAGTATCGAATTACTTGACACCGGGGAGTGGTGGCAGGGTTTTGGATATCTGTTGTCGTAGTGAACCGGCCTTGGGCCATGCAACATGCAGTCACATGATCAGACCCCTTGGAGTCACTCGTTGCTTGACATGTCCAAGCGGAGTGATCAGAGTCCTTGTGAGGGCCCCTAGGCATGAACCGACGAAAAGTTGTCCGATGTCGCGATTCAGCGATACGAGAATCGAGGGTGGATGAGATCGAACCTGAATAATAGAGTTCGGATAGGTCAGTGCATTCCATTGCTATTAATGTTAGACAGTACGTGGACATAATGAATGATTCGTCAAGTCGGTTGACATCCTTGTATGAATATAAGTATAAGTGAATACCAGGAAAAGATGCAACACAACGTACTAGCAAGTTCCAACGTCCCGAGTTCCTAAGTTATGCCTTCGGAAGACTGTAGTTACTGCAATCTTCATGAGATACGCTAAGTGTGAGGGTGCCACGTGCAAACATTGTACAAGTCAGTGCTAACCGATCCGAGTCCGATCCAGTAATCACATGCTCGTTCGACGCGCGCTTCATGATGAAGTTCGCCTGCACTGCTCGCTGTAACGTACAGCGAGCATGGCGATATTCTCGAAACCGCTCAACCCTAATGAACTATTTCGACACCAGTCATCACGACGACCATTGCTTGTTCTGATCGCACAGTTCTCATTCTTCGGTCTAGACTGTTTAAACCCTTTAGGAACAAGACAAGCAGTACACCAACGTACAGTCAACGCGAGCTTGCCATCACGCTGTTTCACTTTCCGCTGGTGAATGCAACTCCAGGACTGGGTCTTCCATTTGTGCACCAACTCCGTTCGCTCCTGCGAATCGTTCTCCCTTCGCTTACACTCGTGAAGCACTCCTACTCATGCTCACTCTACATTTCTCGTTCTTCGTACTGTGCTGAGCATAGCTGTCGCCCGCCTAGATGGTCGCATAGTAAGAGACTTGGTCAGTGCAGACGGCAAAGGGTTCTGACCGGCCTCGCTCTATGGTTCGCACTCGCTTATCCAAGTATATATACAAACTCCATGGTATGTATCCTCCCCACTCCCCTTCTATCCCCATTTATACGCTATTCAGATTCGCCACCTCAATCTACACTCTCCCTCAGGTTTAGAACCCGCTTGACTCGATACATCACGACCTCTACCTCTCCTCCGCTCCCTATCTCCGCTACTACCGTGTTCCCCTCCATGGCATCGACCAGTACATCACAGCAGACGTCGACGCTTGGGCAGAGAGTGTCGCTGGTATATAGTATGTCCTCATCCCTCCGCCTGGATAGAACTAATTCTTTGTACTAGCGGCAATCTCATGAAACCCTCCCTCGACCTCCTTCTCTTCACCTCCCAACTCGCAAGGTCTCTCGGATTCAGAGGCACCGTACTACTTTTATCAATTATATATTACTGCCAAGGTCGTCCACTACTATGTTCTAGGAACAACCCTAACATTCATCTAGATCCTCCGTGCCGTGACACCTGCATTTGGTCGTCTCGCAGCTGTAGAAGCCCGTCTGGAAGGCGAATATAGAGCTGGCGTCGGACGCGTCGGGAGAGGAAAGCGAGGAAGTCGCGTAGGTGCACTTCCTTCTGCTGCCATGGCCATCATCTGATGCCAATGCAGGTTCTACGACGGAGGTGCACGCGAACGAGATATACTGACGAGAACGTATTTGCGATTGATCAAACATGTCAATTCGATATACAAGGTTTGCTTCCTATCTTTCCGCACATCATCATTCTGCTCACTTGTCCATCATTACCCTCATCCATTGTGCTTTCTTCCGACCAATCTCTTACATACATCCCTCTTCATCCCAAACTCACCCATCCATTTCAACTAACACCTTCACAGATCCGCATCGCATACGAATGGACAGAAGATTTCGTCATCAAATACCTCTGGTCCGCCGCTGGGTACGGGTTGATAGCCGTACCGTTGCTTATCACGAGGAAACGCTCCCGTGATGCGGGTGTCGTGGATGGAAAGGGAAAGAGTGGAGAGGGAAAGCGGGGACGAAACAAGAAGAGCGACGCAGATGGTATCGTTGCTGCCAGGACAGAAAGTGAGTGTTTTGGTGCTTGGCGTGATCCTCATCTCCCTTCTCTATATCCTTCAACGAGCAAACGTAGCTAACAAATTCACACAGCCTACATCTCCAACCGACGCCTTCTCCTCTCCCTCGCAGATGCGGGTGGGAGACTCATGTATGCGTATAAAGATCTGCAAGAGGTTGCTGGGTTGACTGGGCGGTGGGTGCTTTGTGTTGCTTGGGGGTATGCTTATGGGTCTCATTTTGGTTTCTTGGATTGCTCGTCTTATTCCGTTGTGTCTCCTGGATCACTCGATGAACTCACCCACCCACCAAAAGACTCTACACCCTCCTTTCAACTCTTCACAACCTCCCACCTCTCCCTCTTGCACTCTCAGGGGACGGCGATACATTCGCGCTGAAGGACGTGGATATATGCATTCCAGAGGATCCCTTGACCTCTCCCAACTCACCCTCACCCACACCTTCTCATTCCTTAGCCACTACCTCCAAGCTTCAAGCTCACGCAGAACCAATCCCCCCAGCCCCATCCTTGGAAGCGACTTCCTCAGAAACTCTCTCAGGGCCAAACACCACCCTCGTCCGCGCACTCACGCTCACGCTCCGACCAGGTATGCACCTCATGATCACAGGATCTAACGGGGTTGGGGAAAACGGCCGTTGCACGTGTTTTGGCAGGGCTTTGGGCACCTGGAAGTCGTTCGATGCTCAGGGGCTCTATGTGTACCGATGGCACGGTTGCGCGTCCTGTTTATGATGCACTTACGCATCCCACAAACGACGCAGATGGCCGTCCAGGTGTATTTGTCATCCCCCAACGTCCCTACCACCCCACAGGGTCCCTCTTATCCCAAATCATATACCCACATTCCGTATCCGAGTTCACTGCGTCCCCCGCGGCGCTGTCAGAACTCGAAAGCTTGCTGGATGCTGCTCACCTTGGATATTTGGTGGATAGAGAGGGCGGGTGGGGTGCGATTAAGGAGTGGAGGGATGTGTTGAGTGGGGGGGAGAAGCAGAGGGTGAGTTTGGAGTTTCTTTCTTTTTGGTGCTGGAACGAGATGGAATGATATTGACCTTCTTGTTAACAGCTTGCGATGGCTCGCCTTTACTACCATCGTCCCAAATTCGCAATTCTAGACGGTGAGTTTCTTACCTCCCTTACTGGCATCTGATCTAATCTGAAACGCACCAGAATGCACATCCGCCGTGAGCTCCGACGTCGAGGGCCAGATGTACGAGCACGCAAAGGCGTTAGGGATCACCTTGATCACCATTTCCTTGCGGTGCGTCTCTGCGTGATTTTTATGTGTCGATGCTGATAATGTTGATGCATACAGACCGTCTCTGACAAAGTACCACACGCATATATTGACTCTTACGGGCGACGGAACGGGCAGTTGGACCTTTAGCCGGATTGCTACGCCTCGGGCTCATGAGGGGCGTGGTGAGAACAGACTGACGACACCGCTTGGCGAAAGCGAACCAATTGCGGGGGATGGCGAACGTGAACTAACAACAGAGGACACAGGAGCCAAATACCTCGCGCGCGTCCTTGAAGAGATACGTGTGCTAGAAGCACGGATTGAAGAGTCGTGTGAGTGGGAGAAGAGGGTGAGAGAGCTTGGGGAGGAGTTGAAGGTGAAGTGATGTGCTGCTTCTTTCTTAGGTTGGGGATTTTGGTGAGAAGGCGCGAGATATTGTATATGGATTCGGGGACGGGTGGGGCGATGGTCTTTTGACGTGGTATGGGTAGGCTGGCATATATGTAGATGAGTGCGGCGATGGGTCTTTTGACGTGGCATGGTTAGGCTGGCATATATGTAGACTGGGTGTACATGACCACGTGGCAATTAATTGCTATAAGACATTGATAGGAATCGAAACACAACAGTGATCTGGTAACAAGGTGGGGCGCCGCTTGGCTTGTGTGTCGTATGTAGTACAAGTTAGCTTTCATTATAGATTGAGTTGAAACCTGTTTCTGCTGAGGCCTCGTAATTAAGTATCGATTAGCTACTCCATGTCCCAGGTAGCAGAATATGTAAAAAGATCTATCCTCCTCGAGATACCAAATACACAGCACGACGAGGCTGGATATCACAGTGAAACAATCAAATAATGCTCCGCGCACAGTACCGTGGTTGATCGATCGATCATTTGAATCGTGTGTATGTGCTACACATATCCGTCGGTTAACACATCTCCACCTGCCCGGAAAGTACTGAAGGATGTCATGCCTATTTCCCCTTCGGCCCTGGCCACGAGCTCAGCGTGATATTCTCGCATGCTGAGGATCAGACGCGGTCCCAGCACAAACATCTGTAATACCTCGGCGATTGACCAGATGCCAAAGTAAACATCACTTCCTACTGACGATGAGTCCTGCAGAGAATTATGAGAAGAGTGGTCAGCTGCAGATGTCAGTCGTAGGTCAGCGTACCGTAAGAGTTTGAGACAGTGCGCCAAGTCTCAAGGAAGCCATAATAGTAAAGCTAGCACATGCAGAACTTCGGTAAAACAAGATGATAACATTCAAATCACCGAACTCACGCTAGAAAGTAAAACGTGTGGCTCTTTATTAACATCGTGAAACAGTCTCCAATGGTCAATCCTGTTGGCAATTGTCGCAGTTCACGGATGTGCTTTATAACAATCCAGAGTGCGAGAAACAAGGCGAGGATCTCCCATGCAGCGGTGGATACCAGACTCTCGAAAGTCAGATTTGCCACGTAATTGTAGTCGATGCAGATATGGTAGCCGGAAAGGACGGCCTCCTCTGGTAGATATCCATGAGTCTCTTGTGCTCCAGGCTTTCATCGATAATGAAAACTTACGCGCTGAAACACCCAGGTTTGCAACTACCACCATAACAACGGAGGTTATCGTGCAAGCCAGCAAGGTTACAACAAGAAATATGAATAACTTTTTAGATCCCTGATACATAGCAGTTATCCGAGCAATCATGGTGACTTTAAATGATATTTCAGTCAAGTCAGTATCTGTGAGGAAGGCGCGAGTGAGCTCACCGCCTAGCATAGCATTTACGATGACAGGGGTCCATGCACCTATGTACCATATCATAGTGCCTGAAAACCCAGTTACTTGGTAGCGGAACAGATACTTCAAATGAACTCACAACTATTAAAGTCATTGTTTCTTGAGGACGCTTGAAACCAGTAGAAAATATCACTCACTCCTATATAGGAACGTAGTTAGTAGTTGAATGGAATGGCAGGCATCGGTGCAGAATACCCACTATATCGGTGATCGAGACAGGGAGGATTGCTGCATGCTGCTAGTCAGAAGGAGTAAACACATTTGAGGATAAGGATATATACATAGGATGTTAATGCTGGTTGCGAGGGATGGCTTATTAGCACACTACAATGCTATGTAGATAGCCTCGCAGACGTACACAGAAAACAGTATTCCAATGTAGCGCACCTAGAATATGGTGAAGTCAGCACAACATAACAACTGCGCTCGCAGTAATAACGTACACAGATATAGAGAACAGTCATGAAGGACCAACGTTGCCTCTGCCCGAATCAATTGCATTGTCCTATTTGATTCTGATACAGGACTTTGCTCACCAACATCAGTTCGAACTGTTGAAGCATTCTTAGTGAGATGTGCAGGTCACGACATCAACTTACCTCTTGTCCGAATGTTAATACTTGAATACTGTATACATATCAGTGGTCACCCGAAACTTATTATCTCGCTCACCCCAGTCGTATACCACCACAGCAGAGCTTGCAGCTGCGAATAAATAGTCATTGATATTGAAATGTCACCGTTGGAATTGCATACTTCACGAACCTACAAAATAGTTTATGAGAGAAGAATAACTGATGAACGACCACAGAGTGGGATCATTTAAAACTATGGTCATATCGGGATGGGACGTATGAAGTTCGTACAGACATATCGCCGTCCATCGCTTTTATAGTGATTAGTTGGGCGGTCATGACCATGTGCATGTAGTCAGCTAGTGCAGGGGGTAGAACTGCTAGCAGGCTAGGGTCAGTTCTCAGGCTGCCGGTTATAACCGGCAGAACCGCTTTGACTCAAACGTACTAGACCAAGTATGTATATGACATTCCTAACGCCGACATCAAATGGTGGCTTCGTCCCATATGCATCCGTCATCCTGACATCAGTCATCTGCATCATGAGAATTGGTAGGTGCCTACGCCAAGGTGGCTTCAAGATTTGTGCAGTCTCGTCAACAGCAATGTGAAAGTTGAAATTGTCATCGAGAGGTTGACACGCCATCGACCGCGGGGTGGTTACGAGCCTAGGCCTAGTTAGTGGGTGGCCTAGTAGTGGTGACTATCGGAAATTATTAATATTGTCCTCCGATTATACTAATGCGGTGGCATACTGGCAGGATGAACTTGGCGCACCATTGCTTGTGATCAAGGAAGCACCTTCGAGAATCAAGGTTATGCATGGATTCAAATAGATGGGCATCAGTGGCCGTGTAAGCACACTAACTGCAGGACTTCGTCCGAAAAGCGGTGTACTGACAGAGAATGGGCGGTCATGAAGGGGATGCTTGGGCCAGTACCTGATTGAATCAGCCGTGACAGCTGCCAGTGGGCGTGAACCTGGGCCTGATCATCTGATGGTGTGTCGCATTTCTAGCTTGGTGTTGCAAAACATTTCACTGCTTGCCACTTCATACTTTCAAATTTCAGGTACTGATTCCCTCGTTTACCTATAGCTACACGATCCGAATGTCACAACTCCGTTTAGATTCAGTAGCGGTTCGCTGGTGCGTATGTTTTGCTCAGGATTGAATTTCGCATCTTCCTGATAGTATGTGATTCTCTTGTAGCTTGTATGCAATCATACTTACAGGGCTTGATCCGTTATTGTCGTTATCAGCGTTGCTACTGCGCACTTGGTGATGAGTCGGCACTTGAACTATACTAACTTACATCTGATCAGATCGATGATGTGAGATCCTGGGACTATCCAGACGGTTAATGATTATGCGATGACCGACGGTTTTCAACTTTTCGCCTCGTACAGAACCTATACATACTTATATATATAAGTCCAAGAAATTCTATCCTCCGAATGACTTCGGAACACCAACTTGAAATACACAGCGTGACTATTGTAAATATCACTACGAAATAATTTAATATGCGTGCTCCCCTTGGTTGATCATTTGAATATTTTTATGTGCTATACATCTTCGCATCTGCACCAGCATGAAAAGCAATGAATGACACACCTGTTCCCTCACCGGCCCTGGAAACGAGCTTGGCATGATATTCTCGCATGCTGAGGATGCTAGAGGCACGGATTGAACAGTCATGAGTGGGAGAAGAGAGTGAGAGAGCTTGGGGAGGAGTTGAAGGCGAAGTGATGTGCTGGTTGTTTCTTAGGTTGAGGAGAACGCGGGAGATATTGTGTATGGGCTTGGGGAGGGGTGGGGCGATGGTCTTTTGACATGGCATGGGTAGGCTGGAGCCTGGTATGGTGTACGTCACTTAGTTGCCACTACTTTTGTGCAGGCGCTAAATCAACGAGACAAAATCGTAACACTGACCACTGGTCCAAATCAGGCAGGGGCAGCCGCCTACACAAAGTTGTATCCTCTTCGGAATACCAAATACATAGCACGTACGAAGAGCCCGAATATCACATCGAAACAATCAACCATGCGTACTCCCCGCACAGCACTGTTGTTGATGATTTGAATCGTTTTTATGTGCTACACACATCTGCCGGTCAACACCTCTCCACCAACCTGGAAAGTACTGAAGGACGTCATGCCTATTGCCTCGTCGGCACTGGCCACGAGCTTAGCGTGATACTCTCGCATGCTCAGGATCAGACGTGGTCCCAGCACAAACATCTGCAATACCTCAGCGATTGACCAAATGCCAGAGTAAATATCGCTTCCTATGGATAATGAGTTCTGTAAAGAAATTATGAGAGTGGTCAGCTGCAGATGTTAGTCACAAGTCAGCGTACCGTAATGTTTTGAGACAGTGAGCCAAGTCTCAAGGCAGCTACAATAGCAAAGCTAGCACACGCAGAGCTTCAGTGCAACAATATAATAACATCCAGATCACCGAACTCACGCTAGAAAGTAAAACGCGTGACTCTTTATTAACATCATGAAACAGTCCCCAAGGGTCGATCCTATCGGCGATTGTCGCAGTTCACGGATGTGCTTTATAACAATCCAGAGTGTAAGAAACAAGGCGAAGACCTCCCATGCAGCGGTGGATATCAGACTCTCGAAAGACAGATTTGTCTTGTACGTGTCCGCATAGTCAATGCAAATATAGTAATCGGAAAGGACAGCCTCCTCTGGTAGATATCCATGAGTCTCTCCAGGCTTTCATCGATAATTGAAACTTACGCGCTGAAAAACCCAGGTTTTCAATCACCACTATAACTCCGGAGGCTATCGTGCAAGCCAGCAAGGTTACAACAAGAAAGATAAACAACTTTTTAGATCCCTGATACATGGCATTTATCCGAGCAATCATGGTGACTTCAAATGATATTTCAGTCAAGTCAATATCTGTAAGGAAGGCGCGAGTGAGCTCACCACCTAGCATAGCATTCACGATGACAGGGGTCCATGTACCTATGTACCATATTATAGTGCCTGAAAACCCAGTTACTTTATGGTGGAATAAATACTTTAAATGAACTCACAGCTATTGAAGTCATTTTTCCTTGAGGACACAAACCAGCAGAGAATATCACTCACTCCTATATAGGAACGTAGTTAGTTGAATGGGAATAGGCATCGGCACAGAATACCCACTACATCAGTGATCGATACAGGAAGAATCGCTGCATGCAGTTAGTCGGAAGGAGTAAATACATTTGAGGATACATACACAGGATGTTAATGCTGGTTGCGAGAGATGACTTATTAGCACATTTCAGTGTTATGCAGATGGCCTACGCACATAGAAAATAGTATTCCGATGTAGCGTACCTAGTATATGTTGAAGTCAGTACAACATGCCAACTGCGCTCATAGTAGCAATAGCATACACAAATATAAAGAACGGTCATGAAGGACCAACGTTGCCTCTGCCCGAGTTAATTGCATCATGCTGTTTGGTTCTGATACTTGCTCACCAAGATCAGTTCGAACTGTTAAAGCATTCTTAGTTGAGATGTGCAGGCCATGATATCAACTTACCTCTTGTCCGAATGTCAATACTTGAATGCTGTATACATATCAACGATCCCTCAGAACGTATTGTTCCGCTCACCCCAATCATATACAACTACAGTAGAGCTTGCAGCTGCGAAGCAATAGTCAATGATATTGAAATGTCACCATTGGCAATGCAATTGCTCTCCACGAACCTACAAAATGGTTGATAAGAGAAGAATAACTGACGAACGGCCACCAAGTGGGATCATCTGAGACTATGGTCATATCAGTTTGGGACGTATGGAGTGCGTGTAGACATATTGATGTCCATCGCTTTTATAGTGATAGTTTGAGTGTCCGCGACCATATGTATGGAGTCAACAGTGTAGCGGGTAGAACTGCTAGCAGGCTAGGG